AGTTATTTAGCCTAAATTGGAATGGAATATTAAAAATAAGGTTGCACACTTTGCTTATTTTTATGCATGCTTGGCAAAATATTATTTTTTTCATTAATTGTATACAGGTATACCTCGCCTTACGTCGGTAATTGGTTTTAGGAGAGGCAACGTAAGTTGAATTTACATGTCTCCGAATCTACTTGTCACTAGGCTAAACCATAAATTACCATTCCCGGTTCTGTATTTTATGTACCAATGCATCTCTAATAATATATGGTTAATAAGGATCTATTTTAAGCTTACAAACAAATAAATTTTAGTTTTTAATATAGTACAGAAAAAAGTAATCTAAATTTATGAATGCAGGTACTGTAAGTACAGTACATACTTGTAAATGTATATATTTTAATATGATTTTATGTGCTTTGAACATTTTTCTAGTGATATTATGATGTCAATATTTGTGGTGGACAGACGTAAATTTGAATAAAACAACTTAAATTTGATTTTTATTTTTCCATATACATTTTTTACAAACAACGTATAATTGGAAACGACGTAACTCGAGGTATACCTGTATATACTTTCATTGATAGATTTTAACCATTCTTAAGAGAATGGAAAACAATTTTGGTTCTATTGGCATTTTTAGAGAAATAGGAATAAATCTCAAGTCTTTCTGTTACACAAGTTGTTAATAAAATGCTAAGAAACTCATAGGAGTGTTATAATCAGTTACTGTAAAAAAAGTAACTGATTGCAATTCCTAATTAACTTAATTTGTAGTTATAATAAATTACTTTTTATCTGAAAAGTAATTGAATAAATATTCCAGTTAATTTTGCAACTTTTACTATTACATATTTTTTTTTAAATTGAACTTGCTTTTATTTTCTCAGAAGCACTACTAGTTGAGATATTTGGGGAAACCTGAAAATAACAAATAATTTTGTGGAGGGCAGGAAGTTTGTAGTACAAATATCTGTCACTAGATGTCTGTAGACAAAATCCTACAGAATCAGTATGCAAAATGGCATCAGCATGTTAAGACTTGTTGGCCCGTAGCGATTTATTTTGTGAGAGCTATTATTTCATTTCCATCAAAAATGTGATGTCAGATTTTAAAGAGCAACATGCTGCTGTGAAATTTTGCTTCCTGTTAGATAAAAGTGGATTGGAAACGGTTGAAATGATACAATGTGCTTACAAACAAGATGCTATGAGTAAGACAAGGGTTTATGAGTGGTTTTCCCACTTTCAAAGAAAGGAGAATTGTCTACTGAAGATCTACCCAGGTCTGGGCATCCATTCAACATTCAAACTAATGAAAATGTTGAGAAAATTCATGATCTTAACAATAGTGATCACCATTGAACCATTGATGAACTCATTGATTTGTCTGGGATTTCATGGAGTTCAGTTCAGTGAATTTTGTCACAAGAACTCTGCATAAGAAGAGTTTCTGCAAAGTTTGTTTTGCACTTATTGACCACTGATCAGAAAGGCAGTCGCTTAGCAGCTTGTCAGGCTTTGAAAGAACATTTGGAAAATGATCTGGACTTGTTATGTAAGATGATAACTGATGAATCGTGGTGTTATGGTTATGATCTAGAAACCAAATGCCAAGCCAGCCAGTCAACCCGTGGAAAACATCAGGAACTCCTCATCTCGAAAAAGCAAGACAAGTGAAGTCGAATGTGAAAACCATGTTAATTAGTTTTTTTGATGTGAAAGAAATTGTTCATTCCAAATTCGTTCATCAAGGCCAGACAGCCAAGCAACATTGTTATCTGGAAGTCTTCAAAAGACTTTGTGATGCTGTGAGAAGGAAAAGAACAGACTTGTGGTGAACAGAGAATTTGTTTTTCCAACACCGCACTATCTGTGCAGCAGTTTTTGACAAGTAATGGCATGACCCTCCTCCCACACCTCTTATTCATCTGATCTTGCACCTTGCAATTTTTTTTGTTCTCCAGGATGAATAGGGAACTCAAAGGGAAGTGATTTCAGACAATAGAAGAGGTAAAAATAAAAATGACAGAGTTACTAAGAGGCATTTCAGAACAGGAATTTTCTAGGTGTTTTGAACAATGGAAAAAACATTTGGACAAGTGTATTGAAGGTAATGGAGAGAATTTTGAAGGATAAAATATGAAGTTGTTAAAATAAAAACATGATTATTTCTGAATTTTTTCCTGTTATTTTTGGGTCTCCCCACGTAATAGTTTTTATTACTTCTTACCTGTGTAAAATTCCATATCAAATAAAAGAAATAGTAAGAAAATATATTTAAATTACTTATGATGTAGTATTAGAAAACTTTGTTTTAAAAATCATAATGTAGATAAATCAATCATAGCATAAAATTTAAAATTTTGAAATGGTTTAATATTTTATTTCAAGCTTGGAATATTGAATAATCAGTTGAAATTTGGTAGCCAATGAAATGCATATTTCAACCACCAAACATAAATCTAATGAGAAATTCAACAAAATCAGTTAGAAATTGTTCAGCCATTGATAATGGATAGAAATATGATTTAAAATTTAAATTGTAAATGAATAAAATTTCTTGGGTATTTAAATTTCTAAGCCTATTATTTTCACGCCAATTAAATCTACATAAAAAAGATTCAAATATGTAAAAATCTGTCAAAAACTTTATTTATGTTAAAATATGTCATATTAATTCAAATGCTATTTTTTAAATTCATTTCTGACTTACTGTTATTTACATGCCATTTAAAAATGAACATTTCATCTACCAAATAATAATCATAATAATCATAATAATCATCTACCAAACTGCCAGATTCTTCTCATTGTAATACAGCCTAAAGGTAGGAACTTAGGCTGATGTCTTGTATTAATATTAATAGAAACTAATTTTGTTTAAATTAAGTAAACTAGAAGTTTCTGGATAAAAAAGACTAACCCAAACTGTGATTTCAATGTGCCTTTAGTAAATAATTATTAATTGGTCTCAGTGATTACTTACACATAACAAACATAGTTAAATCATAGAGATAATTTTTCCACTTATTTAAACAGAGAAATATAGTTAATGAATTCATATTTCTGCTTCGTATTTCACAGTAAAATTTGAAAAAAAAATCTATAGAAAGAGCTGGGTCTGTGAGTTATCTGAATTTCATTTACCATAGCTTATTTTATAATAGAATTTTACTGTATTCTAATTCTTATGTTTTTATATACAGATCAGGTGAAATAACGGAAATCGTAAAAATTATTCGATGGAAAACACAAAAATTTGAAAGAGTCTTGATTATTGAATCTTATTATAATTCATGTGGCTGTCATCATCAATTAAAAATAAAAAAGAAGTTATCCCAAGGTAGGATCGAATTTAGATCGCTCGTGTGGCAAGCGATTTCACTACNGCAATGTAAAATTAAATTATTTATCGTCATAAAATTCAAACATTGACTTCAATTTAGTTTTATGAAATGAATAAAACTTCTGCATTGTTGGAGGTTTTTAAAAATAAATAGTTTGCTTTAAATTCAATTAATGATGATAATTTCAAATTTTGTTCTTTAAAATATATTTTAAAGTTCAAACTAATAATTTTCAACTTTTTTTAAATCAGCCCTTTAACTGTCATACTTCAGTGTGTTAGACACATCTAATATGAAATAAATTATTAGATATCAGAATATCATGACTTCCCTAGAAGCTTGTTGCATCATCCTAGGATGTAATGAAACCAGATTGAAAATTATTAATTTAAACTTTCATGTTTCTTTTCTGAAGGTGAGTTATAGGTCTGAAAAATGGATATTTATTTCTCTTAAAAACTCCAATAAAGCAAAAGTTTTATTGATTGCAGAAAACTAAACTGAATGAATAGAATAGAATAAACAATAATGTTTAATCCAGCAATTAATTATAATTAAATAAAAAATGTTTTCAATCACAAAAGAAATCCAGCAATGAGTTGCATAACTTTCCTGGCTGTTATGATATTTGATTTTAAAAAATAACTTTTATATTATTGAATGTAATTAATAAAATTGTGTGGTACCATCTGTTATGAAATTTTATTATTAAAAACCTTCTATAATTTTAATTATTATAAAATGGCAAAAAGCTTAATTTTGAGGGTAGATGAGTTTTATGAAAAAAATTGTAAACGCTAATAACAAGTAAAATCTTCATTAGGCTCAACCTTACTTAAGATATGGCATGTGACCACTTTTTTATCTCCCCCACCCCCTTTGACTTTTAGCTACCAAAAGTTAATAGCATCAATGTCCCTTGTATACAAGCTACTGTGCCAAATTTCATTTCTTAATTTTTATCTTGAGATATTAAACAAAATAGATGCCCCCACACAATTTTCTTTTTTGACTTTTTTGGCAGGGAGTCTCAAAGTGTGGAGATTTGCAAAAAAACCAGGAAGGTCCAATTTGACATGATTCCAACATTTTCCCTTGTTATGTATACATAGTGGTTGGGAAAGTAAAGACAAACAATTAACTTCAGTACGGTTTAAAACAGAACAAAATTGCCTATGAGTACTTTTAAGCTAATTTCTTCAGATACTGGTCTAGTATCCGAAGATGACGACTAGTTTGAAAGTACTTATGTGTAAATTTGTTCTGTTTTAAATGCCAGTAAAGCTATTTTTTTTATCTTTAATTCTAAGCTTTTCTTTATTTTTGCTATCTTTATATTCAAAATGTAGAAGAAAACATGGAATATTTTATCTTATAACCATTTATTTTGTATTTTCTGAATATCAATGGCCAATAAATAAGGCCAAAAGCATTTGTTATTTAATTATAATTGTTGGATTAAAGGTTGTGTGGTATTTTTGTTCCTTTCTTTATTAAGTTTTAGTTTACTCTGAATGGCTTATACTGTATTAATGCATGCTATTTTATAGTAGCATAGAATATTATGTAATAATTTTTAAACAGTTATATATTTCTGTTAGTCATATTATCTAGTTATAGATTTATTTGAAATATGCTCATTCGACTTTATCATTTTAGGGGAACTGGAATCCAAGATGAAAATGGATTAAATGATGTGGTAAGTTTGTGATGATGATCATTCTCAGTTTGTTTATTTAAAAAAATGCTTATTTTTTAAATGTAAAATAGTGTAGATACTGTTTAGTTTACAAAAATTAAATTATATGCAATAATAACAAAAAGTGAAGGTATTTGTATTTATGAAAGATTCAAATTTGTTTTTTATAAATGAAATTTACATTTGAGAAAATTCCTTCATATACAAATAAAAGAATAAAAATTGAAATTTTAAAAGAACTTGTATGATTGATTGGATTAAAACAATTTGTTTGTCAATTTAAGAATTGAACCATTACAGGTAATATTGAGTAATTAATATTGTGACATTGCATTGATTGTTACAATAATTAATTATTTAACAAATGTACCAAAAACTTATAAAATGATATCATGATGGCCAGTGAGATATCATAATTCTACATCTCAACCAAACTTTTTTATGATATTAATATTCCAAATCAGAATTAATATTTTAAAATTTATTGTTATAATTTTTCTAAATCAGAAATGTCATATATTCTATCGCTCATTGATAGATTATAAATATCTTATAAACTGTTTCTTTAGAGAAGATGCACACTAATAGAAAAAATAAAATTTCAATAAACTTTGGTATCTAGTTAAATTAATTATTATTTATGATAATCAAAATCATAAGAGAATTGATATAATAATCATTGATACTCATTGAAATGCTTATGAAAATAAAGTTTAGACTTAAAATCACAGATTAATCAGCCTTTGTCTGAGTTGAGTCATAACTTTTGGCTAACAGTCAGCAGTAGTTATAAAGATCAACTATTTACCTGAAGATGAGAACTAGCTAACACAGAGGATGGATGGTATAAGCTCATTGTTTTTTATAATAAAATCTCATAACAGATTGCACTCCACACAATTTTATTTATTATGATTAATAATACAAAAGCTATTTTTTCAATAAAATCTCTTAACAGCCAGGAGTTATACAACTCATTGCTGAATTTTTTTTTTTGTGTTTTTCAAAAATCTTCCAGCTTTAAATTTTAAATTTTGGTTACTGTTTTAAATTCATTTAAATTTTAAACCTTTTCAAAAATGTTTCAGGACTCACTCACTACTGAAGATGAAATATCTTTGGAACCAGTTAATGGTGTCGTTCAGCCACCTTTTATACCTACAAATAAACCACACAGAAATACAAATCAGTTGCAGTTTTTTCTAAAAGTAGTTATAAAAGCTATATGGAAGCATCAGTTTGCTTGGCCATTTTATGAACCAGTGGATGCTGTGAAATTAAACATACCAGTAAGTATAATATATATATATATTTTATTCATATTTATTTGAATTTGTAATTTACTAAAACTATAATTGGAGTATTCACGATACACTATTTCAGTATCTGGCAATAACTATTAACTTGTATTACAGATTGATCAGTGTTATTAAAATTCCGTCAGTTGTCAATGGAAGCATTAATTATGATTATTTTGTAATGCAATTTAGGAAGGAAATTAATAATTACAGTGGTACCTCAGGATATGAAATTAATTCATTTTGAAACTGAGATTGTATCATGAAAATGTCATAAAGTGAATCATTTTTCTCCATACGATTACATGTAAAACCAAAAAATTTGTTCCAACACGAAAAACACACTCAAATGAATTTAAAACAAAGTAGTATATTAAAAAAAATAACTATAGTAAGGAAAACACTGAAAAATGCATTTTGTAGTTGTAAATGTATAAATAACTATAATAGAATAATAATTGATAAAAAAAATGTAGTTTTATTTGCACTTTACCTTTGAGGATAGACAACAGTGGAGGTGTAAACTGGTGGAGGAAGAGAGGGAGAAGGGAATTGATACTAAAACTTAACTTGCATAACATAATGTAACAATAACTTAAAAATAACTTAGAAAAGATAAAAAAAATTAATGATGTTTTATATATATATTTTTTTAAATTTTTATTTACTGGTTTTTGCTTTCTTTTCTTCACTTCCACCAGCACTTTCACTGGATAGAGGTCGCTTGGTAAAATATCAATCCAAAGAGGTTTGGCTTGACCTATTTTTTAAAATGTTTCTAAAATGACTTGGGCAAATGTCATTACTCTGAGCAGCAATATGGCCAGTGTGAACCTTTTCGGGATGTTTCTTTTCAATAAAATCAGTCACTTTCTGATAATACCTCAAGATTTCCTTTATCGAGCGAGATCCTTCCACGACGAAGCAAACACACGGACTGAGACCAATGAACAGAAGTGAATAAAAAATGTCGCTGTGAACTAACGTAATGTTGTATGGTGAATTTTTGTTCGTATCGTGGAGCAAAAATATGTTGGAATTTCATGTCATATCCTGAAAATTTTGTATGCTGGGGCGTTCATATCCTGAGGTACCACTGTATNAAATGTCTCATAAGATTATAAAAGAGTTGAAGAATTTGTAGCTGCCTGAATTTGTAGCTCTAGTTTAGATATGTTTAGGTACATGAATATTTATCATTGTTACATGTAGCCTACATGAATAGAAGACCATACCATATAGGTTTGTGTATGTACAGTACATTGTAAGATGTGTTCTTAACAATGTACAGTAGTTCTCAGAATGTATTGTTAAACAGCTAATGCATATAAATGTAAATATATTTTGATTAATGTCCATAATATGTAAACAGTCAAAAATAAGAAATAAAAAATTATATATATGTATAAACAGTCAAAAATAACTATATATATATTTTTGACAGAGTGGTCCGTTTATAATGTCAGTTATATCTATACTGTATATCGGATTGTTTGGATTATCAGCATTAAGCATTACATTATATATTAATATAAAGAAAGGAAAAGACAGAAATATATGTCTTAAATATTTTTTTAAAATGTATACATAAAGTAGAGCTTATATTAGACTATGTAATAGATATTAAGTAATAAGTCTGTATCAGAATATGCTTTGTTTGAAGTTAAAATTTAATTTGTTTTTGCTTGTAAGTGCTATATTGCAATTACTAGAAATGATTTTCATAGTTTACATTAAATACTGGAAATCTTATAAAAATATAACAAATTTAATATGAGTTTTTTCAATAAATTTTTATATTTGCAAAATTTTATCGATTCTTAAAAAGTCAATACTGACCTGGCCTAGACAGATGTAAGTTTTCAGAATATTAATTTTTTTACGCATAATATTTTACGTGTGTACTCAAGGCCTCCACCTGCAAACTACAAAAATGTCATTTAGATTTGTATTTCTTACTTTGCACATTCTCCTTATTAGACTATGAATTCTGAATTCAATTTATTGATTCACAATTTTTTATTAATAGAATTTTATGGTGAATCTTTTGTACCTTTAAAGAAATGTAAAAGTAAAATTTTTTGTTTAGGCAATAAACAACCACTCAGATACCAAAAATTGTTCATCAAAATTTTAAAATTTAAAAGTAGTTTGCTGGATTTTTGGATATTTGAATGTTGGTTTACTGTTTTCACATACAGTTGTTGTTTTTATGCATTTTTGTTTAGGATTTTTTACATATGAAGATATTGTATGTAAATTTTTAAAATTATTTTTTTCTGTTTACTTAGTGTATATACTTTTCTCAGTTTACATTTTAATTGCTTTTGTAATAATAATAATAATAGATTTTTATGTCTCTTACTATTGATTTTCTTCTTGAAACAATAATGTAAAATCTGCAGAATTTAAGAATTGTGATTTAAATGACTATAATTATTTAAGTTTAACTAGACTGTATCTGTTAGTGTGGAGTTTCATTATTTAGATAGAATGAATTCATCTAAAAATTTTACAAGAATTGAATGATAAAAGCAGAAATTCTACTTTCCTCTGAGAAATGAAAGACATTAAAATGATATCTAATTTACTATATTAAATTTGTATCTAATTTTAAAAAAAACCCAAAATTTATATTATTATGGAGTTAATGATCCAGTCTTGGCATATTTTTTCAAGAAAGATATACCATAATAAACTATTTTAATAGATTAAATTATTGGATGCTGATTTAATTGTAATTGGTGATTGGGGAAAAGCTCACTTGTGAGTACACTTGACAGCACTGTGAGCTGGTCATGTTTGTTACTGGTTTTCTCTTCATTATTAGAAATACTTAATCTTGATTATTCGTTTATTATGGAGTAGAAATAACATTTGAAACTTCTTGCTGACATAAAATCTATTCATCCAAAGTAAACTTTATGTAACATGCATTATTTATGAAATATTTAAAAAAAAAATATTTATAGAATTAGAGAAACTTACATTTATTTATCTAATACATATCCATGATGATAGCAGATATTTATGATGTGATAAAAGAAAAACTAATGTAGTTTAATGAATAAAATTTTCATATAATGTTTTGACCTGGAGAATATTATTTCTGTTGAAGTGTGCAATGGATTGCATTTTATTGATCAATAAAAAGATACATTTTTAAAATATCATTTTTTTAGGATATTTTGAATATTGACATTAGAATTAAAAAGTTAATGATTTTTTTGAAGTATTCATAATAATAATTATAATTTAGTAAGAATTTAAATGCAGTAAGTTAACATATTTGTATGTATTACTGGCTATTTTCGTTTTAAAATGTTACTTTAATATCTAACAATTCAATTTTAATTACTGATGTTTTTTTTTTCTTTTATAGGATGTTGTCCTGATGGCTCAGACACTTGAAAAACTTTTCCTTACCAAATTAGCAGACATGCCCAAGGAAGTGAGTTGAATGAGTATCATCTTGAAATATTATAAAAAATTAATTATCATTATATTACATTTGTCTATTAACAATTTTAGATAAACAATATTGCTAATTTAAATGATCTAACTAAAGCTATTTTCACAATCGTCTTGCAACATATGCTAAAATTTGACACAATTTGCTTGCAGTATGCTATACTGTTACATATATTTAATGCTATGCTATTATCTGATATTGCTAACTCAAATTCTTTTGACCTGTACTAAATTTATTTATAACTTGATTAATGTACAAAATTGATTGTTTTTGATATATAATAGAAACAAAATCATTTCATCATTCTTTAAAGAAAGCTTTATATATTATATATATAAAGCTTGAAAACTCAATTAAGATTTTTTTTACAGTAGTGTTGAGTTTTCAAGTTGTAATGAAACCAAAACTTTTTATTTTTTGTTAAAATTGAAATGACACACTAAGCATTTTTCAAAAATGTTATCTGAATTTTGTCTTGCTGCTGTATTTGTGGAAGTGTCTTATCTTCTATGATATTTTTATTTTTTGTGGAATTTAAAAAACATTTGTCACTGTTATCAATATTTTTTACATCAAATTCAGTAGCATACTAGTTATATTTGTCAAAATTTTACCAAATCTTATGTATAAAATCTATTGAAATTTCAGACACTTAATATTTGAAATATGCATATTTTTGTTGTTGGTTGGTCTGAAAATATGAAACCTTTTACAGGAAGTAGAAATCGCCATGCCTACTCCCAAAATTCCTGGTGCAAAAGGCAGATGGAAGAAGGGAAAAGGGGGTGGTCGTGGAAGAGGTAAGAAAATTAACTGTGTGTAATTTTAGATTTTGATTTTTGACTTTAAATTTAATAATTATTGAATTAATTGAGATCAAATATATTATTCTTCATCTTTATAACTGATTCTTGGTGCATAAAGGATTGTATATTACACAAACAAGTACAAATCAAGATTTGGTTTTCTGAAAAAAATAAAAAATAAATTAAAATGCTGTTTAAAAGAGTAAAATTAATACTTTAGTTAAAAACTAAAATTTTAGCAAATTATTTTATATTAGAACTAGCAGATGAGCTCAGTGTTGCTCGGGGAAAAAATAACAATAGCAAACATTAAGATTATTAGATTATTTCGTACTTTTAATTCTTTTACTATATATTATAGTGTTTGATTTATATTTACAATGGTTATCTTATGTAAGGATTTATCGCACTGAGTGCCCAATCTAACACATTGTAAAAATTCTTTAAATTGTGTACAGTAGAGGCATAAAGAATTTTTAAAATATGTTAGATTGGGCACTCTGTGTGATAAACCCTTAGGTAAGATAACCTTTATATAGCCAATCTTACCTGTCTTAACTGGGTGCAAGAATTTGATCCTTCCGAGGCTAATAAAGGAACTTTTAGATGGGTCTAACAAAATGTTTGATTTTCTGCAAAAACACATCTAAAATAGTACAGTAGACACTGAGTTCTTCAGGGTAATCTTTAACTCTCTTCTTCTCCCCTGCAGGGAGAATTTCCAAAAATCTCTTCTTAGTGTGCATTCTCATGATGTACCCTAACTATGTACCAAATTTCAACTTTCAACTTCTAACCGTTTGGGCTGTGCGCTTATTATTATTATTATTATTAATTATGTTGGGTTTACTGAGTTATACTCAGTTGACACTGATGGATGTGTACTATGCTGAACCAGAGTCAAAGCATAGTAACCAAAACAGGACAAAAATTAAATAAGAGTGTCATTGTGTGTGCTGTATTCAGGAATTTCCTAACAAAATGATATGTGTTCAATATAGTGGCCTTCTGTAGGGTGATGTAAGTGTTTCTATTCACTGTAACGTTCCCAGGCTTTTGTGTAGTATGTGTAGTATGACACCTGAAGAGGAGAGAACGACAGGTACAACAATCACCTTATCCATCCTCCACAGATGCCTTATTTCCTGGGCGAGTTCTGAGTACTTGCTGTCTTTCTTAGTGCATGTGTTTTGTGTATTGTAAGTTTTTGGAATGGATATGTCTATAATATATGTGATTTTATTGTTTGTCAATGAGTGTGGCATCTGGTCTTATGTGGTAAACTGTTTTATCTGTGATTATGGCTCCAGCATAGTACATTTTGTGCCTGTTATTTTTCGATACTGTCTGTGGGATGTATTTGTAGTATGATTTGTGGATGTCTAATAAGTTGTCTCTTTGCAAGCATTTGGTGTATTATATTTACTACTTGATTATGTCTGTGTAAATAATCTGTCTGTGCCAAGAGCTTGCAACCAGAAGTGATGTGTTGTATACTTTCTGGCATGATGTGACATTTTCTGCATGTGTTATTTGTGAGTGTTGTATCTTTGAGTGTGTTTTCTGTAGTTCTTAATATTTATGACTTGATCCTGTATGGCAATCACGAATCCTTCTGTCTCCCCAAACAGGCATGGCATCCCTGAGCTAACCAGCCATTTGAAGCAGTTTTGTAGACAAAATCCCAGAGTAGGTCGTAGGGATGTCTGCCATGGAATGCCTTTTGAAACCATGATTGTTAATGGTGTCTAGGCTTTTTATATGTTGTGTCATATGGACATGACACAACATATAAAAAGCCTAGACACCATTAAGGTGACTTTTTTTCAGTAGACTAAAACAAAAATCACGACATGACAGAACATGAGAAATACCATTTAAACATTGTGATTAAATGTATATTTTCATTACTTAAATTTTTCAAATGTCTTCTTTAAGATCTCTTATAACTATTTTATTGATGTACTGTACACTTGTATATTTTATTGTCTTTATATAAAATATTTAATCAATGATTACTTTTTTACAAAAATTTTATTTTAATTTAAATTTCAGCTGTTTCTAAAAATTTTAATTGTTTGTTTGCTCAAATTAATTTTTACAAATTAAAAANTATATAGAAAGAATTTAATATGTTTCTGCTCAGATAAATGTGACTGTTTTCAATTTAAATTTCTGTTGGGCAACAATATATTAAGAATTACATTCAAAAATTTTATTTTAATTTAAATTTCAGCTGTTTCTAAAAATTTTAATTGTTTGTTTGCTCAAATTAATTTTTACAAATTAAAAACATGAGGCATATGTGAGAAATAAGTGCTACAAAATTAATAGACAATTAAATTTAACATAAAACTCATGATAGTTGTGCTTTGTATTAGTTTTGTTTTGTAAAATGTTACAGTAAATGAAGTTTTATATAATTATTTCATTATTAAGTATATTTTATGAGTTATACCTGTATGTGATAAAAAATTATATGTTTATATGATTTTCAGCAGGAAGCTTAACTCCTATTCAGCAAGATACGTCATCTCAGCCACCCAGTTCGACAATGCCTCATAACGTACCATCTCCTATCAATTGTCAGTCACCTCAACCTCCTCCCACAAGTATAGTTGCACCAATGTCTATTCCAGGAAGTACAAATACTCCCACAACAATATGTGCATCTATGAATTCCACAAATACCATACCTGCACATCAAACGGTGAAATCTTCATTATACGGTAGTGTTCCAGACTCTGTAGTTAGCGGTATTACTCCTGTAAATAGCATAGCACAAGATGGACAAATGCAGCTTTCATCACAACCTCCTCCTCCGTTATTATCACCTGTTAATCAGTCTGTTGGAGCCTCATCTGTTCTTGTTTCACCATCAGTACAAACAGGTCCATCAAAGGTAATTATTATTGGAATACTTTTAATCATATTTCTTATTGCTCACTGGATGAATGTTTTGTATTTTTGGTGGGCAGTTATTGGAATAAAAAATATTGATGTTGTAAGAAGGAAAAAGCATAATTACAAAAGAGATGTAAACTAGTTAAATCAGGATATTGTGATAAATATGTAAAAAGGATTTTAATGCAGTATTTAAATTACCTTAATTAACTTTGAAAATTTTGATAATCCCTAATATCAGTAATGTTGAATCTCAATAACAATATTAGCCGGTATTCATTTTATACACAGTATTGGAAACTATCACATCAACAGTTAATTATTCAGTAATATCAAGCACCACTAATATACAGTGGAACCCCGCTTAACGAGCATAATTTGTTCCAGAATCTTACTCATAATGCAAAACACTCATTAAGTGAAACAGCTTTTCCCATATAAATTAATGTAAAATACAATAATGCATTCCATGGTGAAAAAAATACTCAAATATTTTATGTATAACATTTATTCAAAGAAAATTACACAATATACATTGTTAAGAAGTGTGAATCATCATCATCTTTTCTTCTAGTGCGGAATGAACCAACCTGGAATGCAAATTCAATTTGCAGAAAACAAAAAAAAAAAAGTCACAGATAATATGCCTGATAACACACCAAACGATATGCCAATTCTTGGGCTATGTAAAGGCTATAATTAAATATTAGAAATTTATTAATTTGAATAGAGGTAGACAGTTATGCTGCCATCTTGTATTATTGTTTTCTTTTTTTTTTTAAATAATTTGATCTTTTAAATCAGTGATTCTCAAACTTTTTCGATCCACTGCCCCCTTTGTTCCATAAAGTTATACCCAACGCCCCCTAACCCATTTTCTCTTGTGTGAGAAAAGGATTGGAAATATTCTTAGGAAAACTTTTCTATGAATCTCACACTTTGTGCCCTTACTGTACATTGTTCTCATCATCTGGAAACCATTAAACGCAATGTTTCCTCTTATCAGCCCCAATTTTGCCTTTGGTCACCGTTCAATA